CCTCGGCTTCCTGTGCGCCCGCGGGACCGGAGGGCACACTGCTCCCCGCTGGCAGCCTCGGCAGGGGGGGTCATGTGTGTGTGCCTGTATTCAGTGTGCTCCTTTGCACCTCTGTTTGTGTGTGTATGTGTGTGCATTTGTGGATTCGTGCGTGCAGCTGTGGTTTTGTGTGTGCCGAACCTCCTTGTGTGTGTGCCATGCAGTATGTGTGTCGGGGCGTGCTGCTACCTGTGGATGTGCAGTCAGGCATGCTCGGGGGGTGAGCAGTGTATGTACACGTATGTGCTCATGGGTGTTTCTGTATGCCTAGGTGTGTTGGGAAGGGCCTGTCTGTCTTCTCCAGGGTGTTCGTGTGCGTATTTACAGCTCTGCAAAAGTTTCATGGCGTAGCCTAGGCCTCCCTAGAGCACAGCTACAGGAGAAGCCCAGTACAGCTCCTTCCCTTGCAGACAGCCAAAACTGCTGCTTCCCAAGCCTTGGGACAGGCTTTCTACCTGGGATGTGCTGGGTGAGAGGCTGTCCTGGCCAGCTGTAGCTGAGCACAGGGAGAGAGGGGACCTCCTGCATTCGGTGAGGAGGACATCTCCCATTGGCCTGAGAAAGGCAGGTCTTGTACCTGGCATCTTTTCCCCTCTTAACTGTCCTCATCCCATCAGGACTGCCACTCTTGCTGGCAAGTTGGCTTTCATAGTCAGAGTCCCCTGCAACATCATTTGTACCATTAGGGCAGTGCTGCTTCGAAAAGAAGCCCATCTCCAAGAAGCTGATGATGCAGAGACATCCCCAGTGCAAGGAGGGAATCCCCAGCTGCAGTGAGACGGCATTGCCCATATTTAGGAAGGTGTCCCTAGGCAATCATGCAAGAGGAAGGTGGTTATTGCCTGGCTGGGACAGGGCAAGCCAGGGTTTTGGGTGCTCCAGCAAGCTGGGCACACTCAAAGTTTCAGGGCAGCTGTGAGGCTGCTAGGGCTGGTCCTCCATTAGCCTGATGCGTTCCGAAGGGACAGAAGTTCAGTCTCAGTTGTTTCCAGCCCCTGCCAGCACCAA